ATATATATATATATATATATATATATATATTAATTCTCCATTTTAAGACACATGCATGCTATTGTAGTGAAAGTGATAATTGAAGTGGAGATTAGATTATGTTAAAAGAAAATACATGGAAATATTTTATTTCCACCTGTTCTGGCTTTTCTAATTTTTTTTCAAGTTTTACGGATCAATCACCCCATTTGATGTGTGGTACTTAACAAGTAACAATTGATTGTTGAGGCATTTTTTTTTTATTATTTTTCTCTTTTGTGTTGTGTTTTCCAGGTTGTTGCAGCACATTCGTTTGCTCAGTCCACAAAAGATACCGTCACAAATTTGTTGAGTGGACTTGGTTGTGAAACTCCAGAGACATTAACGAATATCAAGGATGGTTTACCCAATAACAACTCTGGCGTGATAGCCTTAACCAAATTTGAGAAGGCATGGAATATTCTTTACAGTGATTGCCTTTCTGCCTTAGAGACGTGTGTGGAAGGAGACCTTAAGCATTTTCACAAAGCCAGGTATATGCTTGCTCAAGGGTATTACAGGAGAGGTGGTACTGGGGATCTTGAGAAAGCAAAGGAGGAACTCTCTTTTTGCTTTAAGTCATCTCGTTCGTTGTTTACGATCAATATGTGGGAGATTGACAGTATGGTCAAGAAAGGAAGGTAGAAGATCAAGTACTTTCATAGTGGCAATTTGATGTTGACTTTGATATATTTTGTTGGGCCTTTAGGTTTGCCTAACTGAGCACCTAAATGTAAATGTGTTTATCCTAAAAGCAATTGGATATGACCTTACGAACACATAAAAAAGTTGGATGTGACAAATTTTCATCTGCATTTGCAAGCTTTCATAAGTTCCCACAGTGAGGCCAAAATAACTGTCAGTTGTATTTTCTTGTATTTGTTTCATTTATTGCAACTTTAGATGATTTGTCGTCACTTCTCTTTGTGAAACAGACGCAAGACTCCAGGTCCTTGTCACAGGCGATCTCTTGAAGTCAACTTAGCAGAAAGTTCTCGTAAATTTATAACTTGCATCAGGAAATACATCTTGTTCTACTTGAAGTTACTGGAGGAGACTGGAGATAACACTACCCTTGAACGGGCTTATATCTGTCTTAAGGCAGATAAACGGGTATTTATGCGTTAATGTTGACAACTTACTATGATTTGTTCAAGTAACTAACAACTATAACCTGCATACTTGAGCATCTTGGTTGGATAATAAATGAATCTTGACTGCAAATACTTCAACATGAAATTATATAAGTACATCTCTTGAACAACTGAAACAGCGGAAGAATTAACACAAGTTATTTTCAAAAGCTGAAAAAAAAATAGTTTCAAACAATAATAATAATATTATAATAATAATAATAATAATAATAATAATAATAATAATATATTATTATTATTGTGTGGATCAGCCCTTCATCTTCAGTCCACTTGAAACTCAATTATTGCACTTTTTATGTAACATAACTACATAAGTATGGCATTTTAGCATCAAGATTTTCAATTCAACGTAATTAGGAGGAGAAACTGTTTACTAGTTAATGCTCAAGTAGGAACGATAATTTCTTGTTATGGCATGAATGCAGTTCTCTTTGTGCCTTGAAGATCTTCTGCCAGCGGCTATTGGGAGGTATATTAAGGCCTTAATTACGTCCATATGTCAAGCCAGTAGTGGCTCTTATACTGCTACAGACCAAGTTGAGCATTTGCTGGAGAAACTATTCAACTTGTTCTTGGAGCAGGTGAACTTGTGGTCAGATATTTGCAATTTGCCTGAGCTCAAAAGCCCAGAACTGACTGAAAGCAGCCTCTATGGGTATGTTTGCCAAAATAATAATTACAATAAAAATGTCGAGACGTGCTCATATGTGTTTTTCCTTTATTTTCTGCTCCTGGAAATTTTAGTCCATTTATTATGGAACCTTTTATCTTTCTTTTCTTCTATTTGTGATGCACGGACACTATTCTGTTTCCTTCTTTTATGGTTTTGGCAATTTCAGTCCCTTTATTGTCAAACTTTTTATCTTACCTTTCTAGTTGTAACATGACAAAATGTTTTTTGGTTTGTTGCAGATATATCAATCAGTATATTCAGCTATTAGAGAGAAACATCAAATTCGAAACACTTGAAGGAATAAATGAGAAGATCCGTAAGCGTTTGAAGAATCCAAAATTGTCTAATAGCAACCTTTCCAAAGTGTACAAGCATGTTTCTGCAGCCTGGTGTAGATCACTTGTCATCAGTATGGTCTTAATAACACCGTTGCACTCAAGAATTTCGACCGAGATTCATGGTATGGACTCGTCGGGTGGTGGGCCGGAAATCGAACAGCTTCTATGTGTTGATCTCCAGCCTGAGGAATTGTGGAGTTCGGCTTTTGAAGATCTAAATCATCTCAAGACTCTTGAAAATAAATGGAACCCTTCACTGTCTAAGATAAAGAATGTCATAATCAAGAGAGTCTCAGATGAGGATTTGGAAACTGCAGCCACACTGCTCAAATCTTCTTATAATTTCTACAAGGACACATCCTGTTCACTGCTTCCTTCTGGCGTAAATCTTTATATTGTACCAGTTCAGCTTGGGACTGAGACTTATATCCAGCCTGGCATTGAGGGGATCGACATACTGGACATGAATACTTCACGGAAGCTCCTTTTGTGGGCTTATTCGCTATTCCACGGTCATTATGTGAGTATCTCCCATGTTATCAAGCACTGTGAAGAAAATGTGAGGGTATGTTGTTGGTCCATCTCTCGTAGACACACTTTGTTAACACTTAATATCAAGTTAATGGATGAAAGACACAGAACTATATTTGCTTCTACAGATTTAATATTAGATGCTTATACTTCTACAGATTTAATATTAGATGCCTAATCCAATCCGGATTCTCGTGGAGGCAGTGCATATCTAAGGACTTTTTCTGCCTTTTCTTGTATTTACACATGGTGGCACTGCTTGTTTAACCCCGATTCTAGGTCCAGTTTCCTGCTATGGTTAATACAAACACATTCTATGTCGTTCTGGCCATTTTTTTTCTTTAGAAAAAGAGAACTGAAGCAAAAGTTACCGATCCCCAAAATTACAAATGTCCACTTAGTGTTTCTATATTTCTGCAATAGAGGAATTTGAGAAAAAAGCACATGCAAATTTTTAGGGGTTTGCATGTAACAGGTCCAGTGGGTAATTGGCTTAGATTTTCTGTATCTGGTCAAGCTTCTCAGACTTTCTTTTTGTCAACTGTTCTTTCCAGAAAGATCTATTTTAGGACGTGCACTTGGTTGGCAATTTGGTGTGACTAAAAGAAACCTATTTCTCTTTTTTACATCTCTCAGAAATAATAGTTCCCTTCCATTTTTTGTTTTACATTCTATAATGTTAACAAATTTTAATCTTGGTTGTTTATTGCAGTTAAGGATTAGGAAGGGAACAGGAGGTACGTCCACTCCTTCAAATGCACAAACACCAACTACCGCCGCTTCTCAAATTGGTCTACCTTCTCAAATCTCAATCTCGATGATTCAAATTATTTATAGCATGCTAAAATATTATGGCTAGTGTCGTATTCTACCTTTCTAACTGGAAATTCTGCTCCACAGGTGGTGGAACCAAAGACGGTACTGTCAAAACCAGCGAGGCAGAAACTGTTACACTTACACCTCCTTCATTGCCTGAAACACAAGGCACCCTTAAACTGGAAACTTTGCCAGAGACCTCGAAGAACACACAAAGAGAACCGTCCACTTTGCCAGAGAATGACAATACACAAAATTCGTTACAGGATTGTGTGGCAGAGACAAAGGGAAATGGAAACACAGCTAAGATGCCGTCAGCATCATTATCTCCATTTGGGGAGACAAATAACAGCATGGAAAGTGTGTTGCCAACGATTGATGATGATGATGAAGCCAGTGTAGTTTAACTCCCACTTGATTGCTGTGAAGTCGTTCATGGTGCCCCTGGGTGAGTCGCAAGCCCAATTAGTATACTATTCAGGGATGGTTTTCTGAAAATGAATTTAATTAGTTGTACAAGATACACGGTGTTTTTCTCAGTGTAATGTAAAGAATGGACTAGGTGCGCAAATGACAGTTGTGCTTAGATGTGGATTTTTGGTGCAGATTATTCAAGAGTAATAGCACCAACCGTCAACATTGTATTCTACTAGTATTTGATCATGTGCATTTGCACAAATATAAAACATTTTTTTTGTTTGTATATTAATTAGACATGTACTTATATCATATAAAAGTTATTATTTTTTCTTAAGTTATTTTTATCATTCAAAATTGATTGAGATTTAAATTTTATATAAAAAATATTACTTTTTCTTAAGTTATTTTTATCATTCAAGATTGATTGAGATTTAAATTTTATTTTAACCATGCAATATTTAAAATAATTTATATATTCGTGATATATATTAAGAAAATTAACATAAATAAAAAAAATTATTGGTGTTTTTTATTTTTAGAAAAAAAATTATATGTCAATCATATTTTTCTTCCAACAATGCAACCAAATATAGCGGTTACAACTCTGAATGTGTCAATCAACTTTAAGTTCCAAACATTAGCCGTTACACATTTGAATATTTTGCTACCAAATTAAGAATGAATTTAGTAACTGAT